TTGTGGATTATGGAAATGTTGTACAATGTGAAATGTTGTGGCTTATGGAAATGTTATACAATGTGAAATGTGGCTTATGGAAATGTTATACAATGTGAAATGTAGTGGCTTATGGAAATGTTGTACAATGTGAAATGTGGCTTATGGAGATGTTATACAATGTGAAATGTAGTGGCTTATGGAAATGTTATACAATGTGAAATGTAGTGGCTTATGGAAATGTTGTACAATGTGAAATGTTGTGGCTTATGGAAATGTTGTACAATGTGAAATGTAGTGGCTTATGGAAATGTTATACAATGTGAAAGGTAGTGGCTTATGGAAATGTTATACAATGTGAAATGTAGTGGCTTATGGAAATGTTATACAATGTGAAATGTGGCTTATGGAAATGTTATACAATGTGAAATGTTGTGGCTTATGGAAATGTTATACAATGTGAAATGTAGTGGCTTATGGAAATGTTATACAATGTGAAATGTGGCTTATGGAAATGTTATACAATGTGAAATGTAGTGGCTTATGGAAATGTTGTACAATGTGAAATGTTGTGGCTTATGGAAATGTTGTACAATGTGAAATGTAGTGGCGTATGGAAATGTTATACAATGTGAAATTCAGAGATATGTGGAGATCTTAGGACAATTCAGCAGCTCATCAATTGATTTATTGCGTGTGTCCACGGATTTGTTGCCGCTTTAAAAGCAAGAACAATTGACTGATATGGAAAGCTGAAGGCTAAGAAACGACATAGAGTAATGGACATTTCTTGAGGAGGCATCATACACAGTTTTTTTACTAACCAGCAGCCGTCCCTTGAGTCTCATTATTCGCGGGGTGTTTCAAACATTTGGCACTTCGTTTAGGGCTAACACGGAATTTTAGCAGCAGCGTACAACTGTCTACAAAGGGCTAACAAAGCAGCAGATAACAAACAAAAAAGGGCTAACAAAGTGGTAGCAATAGAAAGCTGTTTAGTGGTAGCAATAGAAAGCTGGTTAGTGGTAGCAATAGAAAGCTGTTTAGTGGTAGCAATAGAAAGCTGTTAAGTGGTAGCAATAGAAAGCTGTTTAGTGGTAGAAATAGAAAGTTGAGTGGTAGCAATAGAAAGCTGGTTAGTGGTAGCAATAGAAAGCTGTTTAGTGGTAGCAATAGAAAGCTGTTAAGTGGTAGCAATAGAAAGCTGTTTAGTGGTAGAAATAGAAAGTTGAGTGGTAGCAATAGAAAGCTGGTTAGTGGTAGCAATAGAAAGCTGTTTAGTGGTAGCAATAGAAAGCTGTTAAGTGGTAGCAATAGAAAGCTGTTTAGTGGTAGAAATAGAAAGTTGAGTGGTAGCAATAGAAAGCTGTTTAGTGGTAGCAATAGAAAGCTGTTTAGTGGTAGCAATAGAAAGCTGGTTAGTGGTAGCAATAGAAAGCTGGTTAGTGGTAGCAATAGAAAGCTGGTTAGTGGTAGCAATAGAAAGCTGTGTAGTGGTAGCAATAAAAAGCTGATTAGTGGTAGCAATAGAAAGCTGTTTAGTGGTAGCAATAGAAAGCTGTTTAGTGGTAGCAATAGAAAGCTGTTTAGTGGTAGCAATAAAAAGCTGTTTAGTGGTAGCAATAAAAAGCTGTTTAGTGGTAGCAAAAGAAAGCTGGTTCTTGGTAGCAACAGAAAACCAATTATTTTTGGTTTAAACGTTTGGTTCTTTTAAAGAAAATGTTTCAATGATAATTCATTTCGTTTTCATCTTCATACAACAAAATGCGCACAAGAAATGTATTCTGTCAATATTGAGACGTCTTTATTAAAATGTTAAGTCCGCAAGAAAGTGTGTGTTTAGGTGCCACTTTTACATGAAAGCAATTCAATGAACTAGCGCTAGTATTTAGTCTCCGTGATCTCACAGTATTTGCTATAGCAATAAGAGCCTTGATACCAAATGAACAGCTGATCAATACCGCATGATAGGGCCAGCCGAGTGGAGAAGTTAGCGGACACTTGATTTAAACTTGTTTAGGGGGCGACCACGCCATAACACCTAGCTGCGGCAGCTAAGTCTGGTGGTCCCAAACTTGACAGCACACTCAGGGTGGGGGAGGGGAGGAGAGGCAGGAGAGGGACTATCATCCAGTCTTGGCCTACGTGAAAAGTTTGAAAGAAACCGGTCCAGTAGTAATTATCTTTTTTGAGAAATTAGAAATAACGTAAAGTACTACCTCTAGTCACGGGAAATCACTCAAAATTAGAAAAAAACCTCAAGAAAATAAGATCTTACACCTGTGTATAAAATTGTGTCAGCCTAACTCAAACAGTACTCATGTTATCGGTATTTGAGAAACAAGAAATTGAGAAAAGCACCCCGGTTTTTGGAGTTCACTTATAAGTTGAAAGTAATCCAAGTATATGATTTTATACTTATATAAGAAATTCCATCTGCCTATTGAATCAGTATTTAATGTATTGTTTTCACACGGAAAAAGAGGTAAACTTTTGAATACCGCAAATCGTTCAAAAGTTGAAAGAAGCCGGTCGTACAATTTACTGCTTAAAATATTAATTTCATCCACCTAACTTAACGGTGCTCTAGTTATATGCGTTTGAGAAACAAGTAGTAGAGCAAGTGGCACTTCATGTTAATTGAAATCGCGTCAAAGTTTATAGAAAACTGCAATGTGATATAATGCTTTTGTTTGTAATTTCGCGAATCTTACAGAAATGTTATCGTGTTTATGTACACACATACAGACAGGCAACATACTAAGTTTTTCATGACCCGAAAGAACGTAAAACGCAAAAAAAATTTAGATTTGTCTACGACTACAATACATCCTTTACATTCCGTATAGGATACAGTAGGTAGGTGTAAACAGCGAAAACTTAAAATATCTGCTAATTATTCAGCACGATTACAATATTTATAGGACAAAGTAAAAAAAATGGTCTTGCTTTTAGTTAGTAAAATATTTTGCAAGCTTTTATTTAGTTTACAAAATTGGTTAGTTTTGTTTGCTTGTTGTGTATTTGTGGCAAATCTTGCCATTGAGCTTTAACCTACTTCTAATGCAGCGATTTCGTTTTAACTTTACAGAAAAAAAAAGTTTCCTATGCCAATGCAAAAATACATAATTTATTTATATAATTAGTCATTAGATTTTAATTCAACAACACGGGAAATAACTCAATTAAGTACTAGCGATTCGTTCGATTTATCTAGCAACAACTGTGAACTCTTGATGACGATGGTTTTATTTTTGCAGAGCCGATCAAGGACTAAGAATGGGTAGATAATTCTCTTTTTAAAATCTACTGATTGGAGTTTATAGCAAATATTTTTTACTCGTAGCCTATGTGATGTCAACTTCATGTGGAACAACTTTACTCAAAAGTAGAAAACAAAACACTTATACAAAACTGTAAATGAACGTTTTTTAAAACTTCTTGGTGTATTTGCCAACGATGTTCGATCTATTGTAAACTAGGTGCCTGTTGGATTCAAGGTGTATTCGGTGCTTGTGTACAACATCATGCAGTACGTGATACTCCGCTCAAGGCGAATAACCGGTGTGCAGCAACGCACGGTGGGGAGAGGGGGGGGGGGTGGGGGAACTTATCAATTCATCGTCTGCTTGTTGGACGTTGTAAACTGCCCGTTATGCCAGCCCATATTTTAATGTTACTGATGGCGGACCCATTAATAATTCAGACTGATCGCGTCATTCCAGGACTGTTCGTCTTGACGAAAGTTTGTCTCGCGGGATGTGAAAATAAGATAAGGCAGCGTCACTCTACTTCAACTCTGCTTAAGATAAGGCAGTGTCACCCTACTTCAACTCTGCTTAAGATAAGGCAGTGTCACTCTACTTCAACTCTGCTTAAGATAAGGCAGTGTCACTCTACTTCAACTCTGCTAAAGATAAGGCAGTGTCACTCTACTTCAACTCTGCTTAAGATAAGGCAGTGTCACTCTACTTCAACTCTGCTAAAAATAAGGCAGTGTCACTCTACTTCAACTCTGCTTAAGATAAGGCAGCGTCACTCTACTTCAACTCTGCTAAAGATAAGGCAGTGTCACTCTACTTCAACTCTGCTTAAGATAAGGCAGTGTCACCCTACTTCAACTCTGCTTAAGATAAGGCAGTGTCACTCTACTTCAACTCTGCTTAAGATAAGGCAGTGTCACCCTACTTCAACTCTGCTTAAGATAAGGCAGTGTCACTCTACTTCAACTCTGCTTAAGATAAGGCAGTGTCACTCTACTTCAACTCTGCTAAAGATAAGGCAGTGTCTCTCTACTTCAACTCTGCTTAAGATAAGGCAGTGTCACTCTACTTCAACTCTGCTTAAGATAAGGCAGTGTCACTCTACTTCAACTCTGCTTAAGATAAGGCAGTGTCACTCTACTTCAACTCGGCTTAAGTTGAAAGAAGAAGAAAGAAGAAATATTTATACTAAATTTTTAAATTCTTGTTGGTTTTTCTTTCTTTCTTTCTTTTTGCGAAATCTTAAACGAGAAAACTTAAAGTACTACTTTCGGCCACCGGAAATCACTAAAATTTGACATAAACTGGTATGATCTTATATGAAATTGCCTCTCCCATAATTGAAATGTTACTCAAACGTTCTCATTTGAGAAACCTTAAGTTGAGCAAGACCACTTTCGGTTATAGAAAATTGCATATAAGTCGATAGAAAACTACAACTCATATAATACTTTCGTCAACATAATTAAAACTTTACTCAACTTTAACATTGGCAGACACGCAGACATGAGACATACATATAAAATTGCAAAACTAAGTTTTTGCTACTCAGGGAGGTGTAAAACGGCGAAAACAACCAAATATCATTGCATTTTTTGCACGATTAAAAAAAGTAAAAAACAAAACAACTGAAAGCTTGAGTCTATCTACAGTCTAATGAAAAAATGTTCCCCTCTATAGTTGTGACGTCGTTACATGCATTTCAGACAGGGCTGCAATTGACAAAACCTTATTAACTTACCTGCTAAAGTGGCTTACCTGTAATGACGAAGGAATAAAACAGGTGAAGCAGCAGTTCTGGTCGTTTGCTAGGCATCATATTGAATGATGTAATCCTGTCATCTGGTAATGGCACTGGCACTGGTTAGCCGATTCTTATGTGGAGAACAGAAGAACAACGTATGTTTTACAAGCTTTCTATCATATATATATATATATATATATATATATATATATATATATATATATATATATATATATATTGCATTAGAGGCAGATATGCAGATATTTTTATTACCCATTAAGTTTTACAAAACTGTCTTTGTTTTAAATTGAAAAAAAACCCCGCTCAATAGGCCATTGTCTCCTATTTAAACATATTTGGTTAAATAAATTTCTATGCTAACTTCAGAACGTTTGATATAACTACACTATCCTTTTTGGTCAGGGTTTCATGTTAGCTTAATGATCAATTAGCTTGTTTTATTTTTTATACAAAAAATAAAACACGAGATGCTAATTGCCTGATATTTCATAAATATCAGTCTTAGTTCCATCATAGGACTGACCATAGCACATGGTTATTGACTGCTACATCTGTAACTTCTTTAAGAAGCTTTTTGAGATTAAAAAACAACAACTCGGCATTAGCTTCTTGAAGGTTCGCAGAGTTGAATACATCTTACCATGGCAACACAGAAATGAATATATCTTTCCACACAGGTAAAAGCCTATATTTTCTATATTATTATGTTCTATTTCGTTTTTGGGGGGGGGGGGGGGGCACTGAAGTGATGCCTGGAAGTCACCAGAGTTTTTTCCAGGCATCTTTTCGGGGGGAGGGGACGACGGAGCCCCCCCCCCCCCCGAAGAAAGTCTACCGCCCCCCCCCCCTCCCGAACGAAATGAAATTTATATAGAAAATATATACTTTTAACAGTTTCCACTCCCCCTCAAAGTAAGTCTACCGCCCCCCCCCCACCCCGAAAATGTCAAGTCCCCCCCCCCCACCCCCGGAGAAAAAAGTCTGGAAGAAACACTGGGCGTCACAAAGATCCCTGACGTACTAAACAAATAAATTCTGAATGTTGATAGTTGAATCTATAATCACGGTAAAATACCTAGCTGTTTAAATTTCACCTACCATCTAATTTAAAATTTGGGCTGATTTAGATTTTATTATGTCGCTTTGAATAGCTGGATGCGTGTTGCATGTTTTCACCAAAAAATATTCTGATTTTAAGAATTATCTTTATTAATAGGAGCTTAATAAGTTCCAAAAATTTGCCTTCATTTGATAAAAGCTCTCCTAAACCTTGGGATTCACTATGGCCCCTAAATGTCAATCTCTGTTTTCTTTCCCAAATAGAGAATAGCATTAATAACACTATCAATGAGTATTCTGTTCTTCTGTAATTCTTTCTTTTCTGCAGACAAACTACCACTTAACATGCTTCTGTCATTAAACCATTTACATTTCTTGTTTCTTTTTTTTTGTTGTTGTGATTACTTGTTTAACAGCTGTATCGGAGCTTATGGTAAAACCCATTTTTGGATCAGCCCACGTGTCTGCCTGATGTCAAGGTAACCAGCATAACCAATCATATTATTTGTTTTCACGAATATATTAGCCAGCGCCGTTTTATTTTCAGACTACCGTTCATTTTTTCCCATGTACCTAAACTAAAATCAGGAGAGTAATTTTTGTTGTGTAAAATCTTTGAGACCTGTGTGAGCAAGATGGAGTACTAAATCTGATCTTACACCAGCATCCCTAAACAAACACGGATCTTTGTATAGCCCTCGTCAAATTTAATATGTCAGTAAAATAAAATATCAAGATTCGATATATAAGGGGTCATCCATAAAGATTCGATATATAAGGGGTCATCCATAAAGATTCGATATATATGGGGGTCATCCATAAAGATTTGATATATAAGGGGTCATCCATAAAGATTCGATATATATGGGGTCATCCATAAAGATTTGATATATATGGGGTCATCCATAAAGATTCGATATATAGGGGTCATCCATAAAGATTCGATATATAAGGGGTCATCCATAAAGATTTGATATATAAGGGGTCATCCATAAAGATTGATATATAAGGGGTCATCCATAAAGATTCGATATATAAGGGGTCATCCATAAAGATTGATATATAAGGGGTCATCCATAAAGATTCGATATATAAGGGGTCATCCATAAAGATTCGATATATAAGGGGTCATCCATAAAGATTGATATATAAGGGGTCATCCATAAAGATTGATATTTATGGGGTCATCCATAAAGATTCGATATATAAGGGGTCATCCATAAAGATTCGATATATAAGGGGTCATCCATAAAGATTCGATATATAAGGGGTCATCCATAAAGATTGATATATAAGGGGTCATCCATAAAGATTCGATATATAAGGGGTCATCCATAAAGATTCGATATATAAGGGGTCATCCATAAAGATTCGATATATAAGGGGTCATCCATAAAGATTTGATATATAAGGGGTCATCCATAAAGATTCGATATATAAGGGGTCATCCATAAAGATTCGATATATAAGGGGTCATCCATAAAGATTCGATATATATGGGGTCATCCATAAAGATTCGATATATAAGGGGTCATCCATAAAGATTTGATATATAAGGGGTCATCCATAAAGATTTGATATATATGGGGTCATCCATAAAGATTTGATATATAAGGGGTCATCCATAAAGATTTGATATATAAGGGGTCATCCATAAAGATTTGATATATAAGGGGTCATCCATAAAGATTTGATATATAAGGGGTCATCCATAAAGATTCGATATATAAGGGGTCATCCATAAAGATTCGATATATATGGGGTCATCCATAAAGATTCGATATATAAGGGGTCATCCATAAAGATTTGATATATAAGGGGTCATCCATAAAGATTTGATATATATGGGGTCATCCATAAAGATTTGATATATAAGGGGTCATCCATAAAGATTTGATATATAAGGGGTCATCCATAAAGATTTGATATATAAGGGGTCATCCATAAAGATTTGATATATAAGGGGTCATCCATAAAGATTTGATATATATGGGGTCATCCATAAAGATTTGATATATAAGGGGTCATCCATAAAGATTTGATATATAAGGGGTCATCCATAAAGATTTGATATATAAGGGGTCATCCATAAAGATTTGATATATAAGGGGTCATCCATAAAGATTTGATATATAAGGGGTCATCCATTGCTGTGGGAGCTCTCAAAACATCGACTTGAGTGGGCGTCAACCGAGGGAGGGTCTTGAGTGGGCGTCAACCGAGGGAGGGTCTTGAGTGGGCGTCAACCGAGGGAGGGTCTTGAGTGGGCGTCAACCGAGGGAGGGTCTTGAGTGGGCGTCAACCGAGGGGGGGGGGTCCACTTGGACAGCCGCAGATTGAATTTATTTTAAAATGGAACTACTTTGATAAGTACTTACATTTTAAAATAAACGAATCTCATATCCTGCATATCAAAGTAAACTTAAGACGGAGGTGCTAGTTTTCTGGGGTAAATAAATCGCGTTATGATATGCAGGCCTATAATGGGGCCATCCATCCCATAAACGACGTCATGATTGTAAAAGATTTTAACCTCCCCCACCTCTACGTCACACATCGTCACAATTAAACAGAACCCACACTATTAAAGTGACGCGACACCTCAGCCTAACACTACTCTCAAAAATGCAATTTTAAAAATAAACATTGGTTGTTTTTTGTTTTTTTAAATTAAATTCTTACCGAGCTCGTCCAGTAGAGAGCATACCAATCACTGTTTATTGCAGATTTTAAAAAGATTTAACGATTTGAAATAACTGGTAAAAGTCAGATGCAAAAATGTGACGTCACACTTTTAAAAACATATCAGTCTTTACCCGCCTTGCATCACATAAGTATGAACCTCTCTCTCCCCCCCCCCCCCCATCCCCCTAAGGTGTGTAAAGTCTATTTATGAACGACGCCCTATTAAAATAATTATTGGTTGGAGCTCATTTGTAAGCGAATGATACGGTCAACAGAATTAAAGGTCATGAACTTTACGACTTATAAATGTTATCATTGGTATGACACACCCTACGTGTACCGATGATAATTTATGTAACACTATCCCCTGCCCCCCCCCCCCCCCCCACACAGAGAGAGAGAGAGAGAGAGAGAGAGAGAGAGAGAAATTTTGTTTAAAACTTAGCATAAGTGATAGATATTTTTCCTGTTGGCTTTTCTACGCCTTGGGATTTTAGATGGCCCTGAACGTGGCGTAGGGCCGGTAAAGCTCATGCTAAACCAAATAGTCCCGAGTTCGAACCCCCGGGCAGAGGAGGCTCGATAGCTTGGGACAGCAATCCATCCAGGAGAGAAAACATTTAAATCAAACAGCTTCGAAAGTGTGTTGACGGGGGATGAGGTGGGGGGTGGAAGGAGGGTGGTCTAAAATTGAAAATGTGTGCGGGTGTAACCAATGGTTGACTCTACTGTGTAACTGTGGCCAATATCAACCAACCGTCACATCTTTGTGATGAGGCATGCTCACCAGATGAAATTTTCCCAGAGACTGCGCACTACGTCCGTAAGTAAATTGACAAATACGCTGCTTTTGTGTAGGTTGTGTACTTGAAAACAATTCTTACACAGTTTAAACTTAATACATAAACTGACTATTTATAAAGATCTATGCTTAGTACGTTCTTATTAAATGACATTTAAAAGCAAGACTACAGAGTAAATTTGAACTTTACAAGTGGTACTACTAGCACTGCCGGCGTCCGGTTATTTAGCGCCCTTGGCAACCCCCCCCCCTCCCGCAATACAAACACACACACAAACATATATATATATATATATATATATATATATATATATATATATATATATATATATATATATATATATATATATATATATATATATATATATATATATATATATATATATGTATGTATATATATATATATATGTGTGTGTGTGTGTGTGTGTGTATATATATATATGTATATATTAGAAAACTGTCTCACTAAATTTTAAATTAAACCATTTAACCTTTATCATTGCAAAATATATCCACCATGAGACAACAAACTACCCAGAGATAGGCTCAAACTCTTTGTGGCC